AATTTCTCTGGAGAGAAATTCTCCAAAAAGTCCAGAGTGTTCTCTAGATATATGTATATTGCTTGGATTGATGTTCATGGTAAGTGATTTTCCCCAAGAACTTTCTTTATGGCAGTGGAGTATTTGCAAAATTTCTTTGGTTTGGTTAATTTTCTCTGCCTTGTTTAATTTTTTCTATGGTGTTCAATTTTCTCTAGATAGATAGATGGATTTGAATGTTGATCCAAAGAGATTTGATGTTGGTCCAGAGAAATTTGAATATTAGTCCAGAGAAATTTGTGAAAGGTTCAAGGGTTTTTGATGTTAGTCCAGAGATCCAGAGAAATTTGAATGTTAGTCCAAAGAAATTTAAAAAAGGTTCAAGGGTTTTTTATGTTAGTCCAGAGATCCAAAGAAATTTGATATTAATTTAGAGAAATTTGAATGTTTGTCTAGAGAAATTTGAATGTTCAAAGTCTAGAACCCAGAGAAATTCCAAGGATTGCTTTGTATGTTGAATTCATTATGAACATAGACATAAATATGGTTATTAGATCAAGTCTCTTTTTGTAGTATAAGAATAATGTTGGATCAAATCACTGAAGCCATCAAACTGCAGACAACACAAGTGAATTTCTCTAGTTGAAGGGGGTTTTCTCTAGAGTTGAGTAAATTTCTCTAGGGTGGAGAGGGAAATCTCTCTGGGTTGAATCCAGAGAAATTCTTTGGTGAGATTATCTCTGTGATGTGTCTAGAGAAATTTATAATTTTCTCCGTCATTTGTCTAGAGAAATTCTCTAGATCGAATTTTCTCTGGATCGATGTTAAGCGACCTTTGACATTATGAAAATATTAAGTGTCCTTTATGCTATAAAATTTTAATACCAAAGACCTTAACAAAAAATCCCAAAAAAAATAAATTCTTAAAAAACTTAATTAAAAAAACTCATACCGAACACCCTAATTATTTTTTTTATTTTTATTTTTATTTTTTTGTTTTTTTCAAATCAGCCAATTCAAACGGGGAGGGAAAGGCTAACGACTCTTAGCAAAGAAGCAAAAATGTATGTATCAGAGCTGGGGTGAGAGCTGAGTGGGAGTTTGCATTGCAATTTGCCAGATTGGAGAATACTCACCAAGCTCTCTTCTTCGCTATGTATAATCCCTTCTTCTCCACTCTTCCTATTTCTTCTTCTCCTTCTTCTCCTTCCCCACCCCTAACCCTAACCCTACTCCTCTCCCTCTCCCTCTCCCTCTCCCTCTCCCTTGCCTCACCTCCCGATCGACCTCCTCCACCACCGCCTCCGCCGCCATGGCGTCCTCCTCCGTCCAACGCCGCCAACGCCGCCGTCTCTCTGTAAACACCACCACCAACCTCACTCTCACTGCCGCCGAAAAAGTGATCGGAGACGACGATCTGCTGAGCCAGATCCTGATACGCCTACCGGCGAAACCTCTATTCCGATTCAAGACCGTATCCAAGAGATGGTGCTCTCTCATTTCGGATCCTTTTGTTCTTCAACGCTGGATTCCGCCGAAATCTCCTTCCTCTTTCTTCTTACGAAGGTATTCTCGCTTTTCTCACAATATCAAATTCAATCATGTATCTCTCAATGGTCTTGTTAAACACAACCGTTCAATTGCTCCTCTATATCTCGATTTCTTCGATAACCGCGACCTTGTTATTATTTCCAAGTCCTGTAATGGCTTATTGCTCTGCACTTCCTCTTGGCCCGGCTTGGATTGTTGTAATCACAGCCGTTGCTACGTTCTCAACCCTACCACCCAGCAATATTCCACCATTCCTAGGCCTGTTAACGGGGGTCAGTACGACCACATAGTTTCCATCAACTTAGCATTTGACCCCTCTCTTTCACTTCACTACAAAATAATTGCTCTCATTTCCAGAAGAGACCTCAGCCCTGATTACCAAATTGCTATATATTCGTCCGAAACTCGAACTTGGGTGATTTCTGTACTCGTTATTTACCCATCGGATATGATAATTGCAAATGGTGTATTCTCTGATGGTAAGATCCATTGGCTTCGTTGCCACTCAGCAACATCAATAGCTTATGATATTAATCGAGATGAATTCTTCCCATTCCCGATGCCATATAGTCTCACAAAGTCCCCAGCGTATTTTGGGGAGTCTGGAGGTCATCTACTGTTCATTGAATCTATTCAAAATTGGGGTAATCAGTTTGATGTGTGGGGGTTGGAGAGCAACTATTCTCACTGGTTTGTGAAATATCGTGTTGACCTTGAGATGGGTGCATTGACTTTTCCAGGGATAACGTATGAAGTCGAAGTGCTTTGCTTCCTTGGAGGAGAAGTTGAAGGGGATTTATGCTTGATCTTCTACCTATCTTGTCAAGTCATATCCTATAACTTCAAGGATAGAAGTTTTAGGAAGGTTTGCAATTTGAAGCTGCGTCCTCTTGATATTGAGAATATACAAGTGTGTCCATCAGCTTTCATCCATCCATGCATGGAAACCATATTTAATGTTTGATGGCATTTCTTTGGAAAATAATCGGTGTTGTCTCCATTTCAATGTTTCATTTGTTTCCTTTCTAGTTTTTTCTTCCTTCTAGTTAAGAATGTTTTTTCCCCTCTCTTGGTGTAATAATTTCAACAGTTGTAAGCTTATTTATGCCTTTTGCAATGAAATGGTTTTTAACATCAAGGATGTGTCATTTATGATATGTTTAATTGATTTTATTTCCTGTTCGATTAAATTTATATATGGCTTTTGCAATGAAATAGTTTTGTAACATCAACAATGTGTCATTTCTAATATGATTGATTTTTACTTCCTGTTTGAGCTTATTGAGTTTCTAAGTAAGAACGTAATTCAAAACTTTGGCGAGGTGATGAAATGATGATGCATTTGCGAAGGCTGTGACCAATCAAAAACCTACGTTATCTTTACTATCGGTGGGTGCCAAAGTAATGATGAATGAATGAAATATATTAAAAAGCATGGTTGGACAATAATCAGAAAGAAGAATTAATGTATTAATGAAGTTAAACAAGTTGAAGACTTGAATAATAAGGTTTAGCATCCTTTGTATTTCCTCTTAAAGGGTCTCAGGATAGAAATGTAGACTGACGTCGTGTCAAGGTAAGATTTGTTAGTATATGTTCATCGTGAATATTGTTTGAATTTTATAATTCTGTTCTTGTTTCTCAGAAATGAAGCTGTTTATTGCCAATAACCTGCATTTCTTCAGCAACAAATCATTGATGCACTTCCCTTTTTCCTGTATTTTTTTCTTACAATCTGTCACGTACTTGCTTTGTAGACATGACAAAGCAATAGACCTCTTCTCTTCATCGCTTTTATTTCTTCTTCTTCTTCTTCTTTGGCTGGGAAGACAAAAGGAGATTTGAGCCCCTAACATCAAAGGTTGACAAAGCATCAGATTGCATTTGGACAACAAGGCTGGTGATCTGCTGTAATAGATTTGAATTGTAATCTATGTACCTCCTCTCTCTTCCGCGATTTCTCTTTCGTCACTAGTGTTTTTTTTTTCTTTTCTTTTCTTCTCTTAATGCAGTTCTACTTTAATATTTCATTTTGTTTGTACCAAATTTAAAATCAATTTTGTTTTCACTTCCTTTCAATCTTTATTTTTTGTGACACATCATATTTCTAACCGACCAAGTATATAGGTTTGTTTCTTTCTAGTAGTTGTCAATGATGACATTATTAAAAAAAAGAGAAAAAAAAAAAATGTTTGGTTGACTCAGATTTAGTTAGATTCACTAGATGACACAGGTTGGTTCTACTCCTCTTCATCCCCATTATTTTCATACATAGGAAGAAGACGGTATATTTTTCCTTTTTCTTTTTTTCCTTCTTATTTTCAAGTTTAGATCTTTTTGTTTTAGCAAATGAATGTGTTTTTATTTATAATACCCGAGGTTGATTGTCAACTGTTTTCTAAATCTTTTTTGCTCTGCTTACTTCAAAGTATTGTGTGATCGTTCATATAGTATTGGAATGGAAATTCATATAAAATCTAATTCCTCCCACGTGTGTTTAATAAGATTTGTTTGAATAGTTTATACCAATGACTAGTAAAACATAAAGTACAAATAGAATCGTAGTAATCATTATACTACCATCGTAAACCTAAAATTCAATTTCAACGACATTTTTTTTTTTTTTTGATCAGCAAAGAATAATTTTATTGATAAAGGATAGAAGGGGGGACTTGACTGAAGTGCATCATAGCTCAAAAATACATCCCAACTAGGTTGGCACCTATAATTGAGCCCAATCCTATGCAAGCCAAGGCCGATACAAAGGTTGATGAGAACTCAACCAAAACAGGGAATGAAGAAAAAAAAAAAGGACAGAGGACTATATCCTACAGGAGACTACAATTTGTGGCCCTTCAATCCATCCAAGCAGAACATGAAATCATGGATTGTGTAGGAAGGCAAATGTGTGGAAAACTTCACCCATGTGGCCACTTTGATCTTGATACTATCCATAATATTCCCCCAGCCAGGAGCTATAGAGTTAAAAACCATGTTGTTCCTGGCAATCCATAAACTCCAAACCACAGCCAATGGAATTGCTTCCCAGATGAGTTTACCCAGGTGTTTGTATTTTTGACCATACCACCATAAAAGTAAGTCTTGTAAGGAACTAGGGGAAACCCATTGGGACCCCCACCAACAAATGATTTCCGCCCAAACCTTCCAAGCGAACTTACAATGCAGGAGCAAATGCAGAGCAGATTCGTTATCGGTACCACAAAAAGCGCAGTGATTGATAGCGGGGATAATGAGCCTGCGAGCAAGGAGATCCGAAGAGGCGATGCTATTCCACCAAACAAGCCAACCAAAAGCTTTAATTTTGGGAGGGGCTGCTGATTTCCACATCTTCATAATCAGGAAAGGGGTTAAACGAAGAGAATTTTCAAAAATTCCATAAAGAGATTTAACTGTAAAGGAGCCTGATGGGAGAGGAGTCCATAGTAGGTGATCCACACAATTGTTATTAAGGCTGAGAGGTTGAGGCAATTTACTAATCAGCTCAAGATGCAACTCATCTTCCCAAGCTCTCAGGGATCTCCTAAATGTGATATTCCAATGAGTTTGATTACCCGCAGCCTGAAACAAATACTGGTGGACGACAATTTCAACGACATTTGGAGCCTATATTCTTTCGCTCCATTAAATTTGCAATTGAAGTCTTTATTAGGGTCACTTTTGGTACTGTCCAAACCTAGTAACCGTATTTTTGCAAGAAATCATCATTTTTTTTTCCCTTCTATTTTAAACTAATTTACGTAACCTAAAACACCTCCCTTGTGTTTGAGTCATGTATTATAGCCCTATTGTCCCTAAATGCTTTTTCATGCCAAAGAACATTAACTTGACCAAGACATTTATTAGGTGATCTTGTGTAATTAAATGAATGACTGCTAGGTTTCATTGACGTATTGCTACATGGTCTTGGGGGCTTAGTCATTGGTCAGGGATGTTAAGTAGCATGCTGCCATTCTGTATATGGTTCTTTTCTTTTACTTCTCATTTTTTGTTTCTTGTTTCTTTTTATCTCTTTCTTTCTTCACATGTATTTTTATGCCTGTATAGTTTTTGTTATGATTATAGCTTGAATTTCTTTCCTTGAAAAGAACTTTATATTTCATTTTTACTCATATGATTGTACGAGTATACTATTGTAGACATGTAATTAACTATCAACTAGTTTAGGTATTGTTCGAACATTGGCACAATCTGTTAGCTTTAGTGGAATCTCCTATTGTTGCTAAAAGGTGTAAGGTTTAAGTCCTTGTTCGGCTATGGGGGTATGTTTCCCAAAGACAAAAAATGTCTTTCTTTTGTTGGTTACATTTTTCATTTCTCGATGCAATGATAATTTGTTTGTTAGGTTTTAAGCACATCTGTGCTTCTAGACCCTGCAGCCAAGAACACAAAATCTGATAATGTCTGATTTTTCTTCTTTGTAATAATCTATTGTCATATGTTCTTTCAAGTTTCAAGTTTCAGACTTAAGATTTCAATTTCAAAGATGGGGTGAGATCTTTAACCCACCGGATAGTGCAGTCATTTATGTTTTTTAGAGAGTGATCAAAGACATGTGAAGTCACATTTAAAATTATTCGAATGCTGATCCAAGAAAAAATATATATATATTTGTATGTTACAATAGGTGGATAGTGTTAGAATATAATATGTAAAATGTTGCTTTAATAATTAGGTTAGTATAATAATTAGTATAATAATTAGTATGCTTTAATAATGTACCTTTAATAATGTTGTTTGGTTTGTGCTTCTACTTTCGGTTTGTAATTGTTCTCCCTCTCCTCTATAAAGGAGAGAGCTCAACATAACATTCAATACAACAATCAATCAATAATACATCAATTTTAACATGGTATTAGAGCAAGGTTAAGCATATAGTATTTTTCGCTTCACCGGCGGGCGGCAACCTCGCCTTGGCCGCCCGCCGGACCTCAACCTAGTCCGCTAGAATTTTCTACACATACCTTGAAATTTCTTCGAGTCCACCACCTTCACGCCTAACTCCTTCGAGTCGCTGTCCTTGACTCACCCTTCAAAAGGCCATGTAGACAGAATCACTGCAGACAGAATCACTAAAGGCCATGTAAACTCCATGCTCAAGCTCGCCGAGCTTCTCTGCCTCTCTCTCAACTATGTCTCTTTGAAGCACCTCCTCCGCCGTCCTCCGTCGCGCAGCACCTCCTTCCGCCGCAGCATTACTACGCCGACGCCGCCTTCGAACATGGCGGCTGTTCTCGACGGCGTTATCATCATCGCGGCTGCTCTAGTTTCTAACGCTTCTGTCCGTTATCTCCAAAGTGAGATCTAGATCTGTTGAGAAGTCGTTCGTCGCTTCAACAACAACAACAAAATCACCATATGAAGCCACCATTCGATGGGTCTTAGTTGTTTAAGCCTTCGTGGTCGAATAACATGATCTCATGTTGTTCTGTAGGTGTGTGGTGTTTGGTAACATACACAGTATGTATACATATACATATCTATATATACATACTCCTCTCCGACTTCCACGTCACCTTCCTCGTCTCCGATCACGTCCACAATCGCCTCCTCCGTCAAACAAACGTTCACAAACGTTTCGAACACTATCCTCGATTCCGTTTCGAAACGATTTCCGATGGAATCCCCTCCGAGAGCTCCAGATCCGGCACTGATTTTCTAACTGAATTGATTGATTCTTTGAGCACCGTAATAAAACCGCTTTTCCGCGAATTGTTTTGCTCTAATCGACTGAGTTACGAGTCGACTTGGCCAGTCACGTGCATCATCGCCGATGGGTTACTGAGTTTTACAATTGATGTTGCTGAAGAGATGGGTATTCCAATCGTTTACTTCCGGACAATCAGCGCTTGTGCTGGGAGGTAAAGATGCACTGATTGATGTTGGTACATGGGGAAGTGAACTCACGTGGGTGGTAATTTGGCCCACGGTTTTGATCAAAACCAGCATCTAGTTTCAAAGAGATAAATATATTATATAAATTTTTCTATTTTAAAATATTTTCCACCCAAAATCATCATCACATTTTCCACCGCCCAAACCTTTTTTTTATCTTATATATATAAAAATTAGATGGAACTCACGTGCGTGGTAATTTTTCTTTTTCTTCTTTCCACCGCCCAACTTTTCCTTAAACCTCAGCTTTTTATCTTTTCTTTTTTTTTTACCCCAACTTTATTTTGACACATATTTTTTCCTTTTTTTTTTAAAATAAAAAAAAAACCATTTACACATTTGCACAACAAACCATATTTTATTCATCTCCGGGATTCACCCCGATCCACATTTTACACAACCAAAAAAAAAAAAAAAAAAAAAAAAAAAAAAAACCACACAAGATCACCATCACAACAACAACAGATTTGTTTTCTGCAGACGGCCACCCACCGACCTACTCTGCCGCCGGTCTCTTCTTTTTGCCTCCGTCCTGGGCGGTCCTTGACGGTGCTACCTCTGTGCTTCCTAATCCACCAAGCACATTCACTCCCCTATACTCCTCCACTGCAGCATATGGCGGACCTCCGAATCGGAACATCACGGTGGCCTTCCGCTTCAGCTCCTTGTTTTCTGCCTTTAGCACACTTATCTCTGCTCGCGCATCCTTATACATGCGTTGGAGCAGAGCCAGCTGGGAGTTTAACTGCGGCAACCTCCATTTGTCCTACTCTGGCAGCCGGTGCGACAGGTTTGTGGACCTGACCGTCATGGTCCTCCAACACATGACTTTCAAAGTATATCTGATGGGCCTCAATATCCGTTTGCACCGCCATTTTTTTGCTCCAACTCACGACCGATCA